TTGTGATCATTGGATCACAATACAATGTAAGAATTCCTTGAGCATGAGTATCCAAAATGTTCCAAGTGTCCTGTGCAGCTCCAGCATTAGCTGGTTGTGCAGAAGTGCCATCAACAATATTCATGATGCCAAGAGTTTGAAGATATGCTTTCATGAGAACCGACCAAGAGGCATAGTTGACTCCATTGAGTTTTGGAATCTGTTTCGAAAGACCTTCAGACATCTAAGTGTCAAAAGTCCATTAGCAAGTGTTCATATAAGAATGACTTGGTTGGATGAGTCGAATTGGAAGGTGGATGAAGGATATGAGATCCCCAATTTTTGGGTCTGTGAGCCGATGCTCTAGCAGATTGTGATTTGCGATTAACACAAGGTTTTGGGAAGTGTGGATGAGGATTTTGCCAAGTCTTTTTGGGGATGCTAATTCCTTTCTCAGCAAATCACTTTGCAGCAATGCGAGAATTATTGTGCTCTAGACTGTCAAAGTCTAGTGGAGGAAAATAGTGATATGCAAAGAATGACCAATTACAGTCATGCAGCAGTTCACCTCCAGTATTGAATCCCAAGTAGGGATCAGTGCAAGGATAAGGAATAGCAAAAGACATATGATGGTGAAAATGAGAACATTTTACAAGTATTTCAAAAACATTATATGACTCGTCCAGAATACATTGATCAGTTTCCTCATGGTATCACCTGCCTGATATGTACAGTATGTCCATCATACCTAGAAGAGGATAAAGCCTGCCTAATGGCTCTAGCTGCATGAGCTCTACTAAGAGCTGTGGTGAGTATTCCTTGGCATCAGGGTTCCACAAGATAGTTGAAAGAACTATTCTCCATGGTACATTTGAGATCATTAAAAATCTCTGCTTTTCCAGGCCAGTAAGCAAATCTGTGGTTACCAGCAGTGTCAGTCCACCCAAGATGTTTGTTAGCTGCCATATATCCATAGCTACTTCCCAAATCGCCTTCTCGTTTGAGCTCAGTGATAAACCAAGCGAGACTGCTATCAAAGCGGTCTCCTCCTCTTCTCCTTTCATGGAACCAGCCAGGGACACATGAGATGTTGGTTGACCTGTCAGTCCAAACTCCTCAGAAATGGTGTTCAAGATGCTCGTGCCATACCCGAAGAGGAGGGATGATCCTGCAGAAGCAGGGATCATAGAGGACATGGGTGTTATAATAGATATAGACAGATGTGTTGTGGGTGATGGTGAAGGCCAGAACAGTGAAGAGGGCAGGATCTTCATAAGTAACTGAAGGGAGGTCGCAACCATTGAAATTAGCGATTGTGTGAGGCGATGAGGTATGAGTTAGTTTAGGGAAGAAGTCAGTAAGATAACCATGAAAAGCAACATGAAGGCTGGGATAAAAGTATGGAGAATTGAAGCCAGGAAAGTGGGGCATTTGTTGCCATGCTGTTTCCACTGTGGCTAGCAGAATGAGATACATTGCCAGGTTAGGCTTCTTGAAGAATGCCATAGACAATGGCATGGCTTCCTCCCAGGACGAACAATTGCATATGTACAACATCTCTATGAACTCAATTATCTCCTTAACCACATACTTCCTCCACTTTGGTTCCTCCAGGTGCATTCCATCATGGTGCTCAGCAGCAAGCAATTCAGTGCATTTAGTGATGACGAGAGACATTCTTTTGAAGAATAAAGACCATAGATTAGTTCCCATAACTTGTGTAAGAAACATGAACAAGTTATAACAAATCGAACTCAGCAAGATCGTTGGCAGGACTGACAATTGCGAGAATGGGCTCTGGATGGAGCAACTTGTTCATAGCCTGAACTTCCTCTGGAAGAGGAGTCGGTACTCAACGAGGAACAGGAGGATTGTGAGATCCTTCCTTGGAGTATGGTGGTATGGGATCTAGGTCTGCCTTGAAATCAACATCAGGAAGATGGAAATGTAAGTAATGAGGCAGTGGAACAGGAAGCATATGATGTGCAGCAATTAGGGTGTGAATGCCAATAGCATTTTGTATGGCATTTTGACAATGCTGCCACCAGAGAGTGAGTCCTAGAAATGTAAACCAAAAGGCGGTGGAGCAAATAAAAAGCTCCTGCAAATCAAAAGGATCAAAACCACCATAATGGAGTAAAAGAATAGCTTGGTTTGCACCAGTTAAAAGTGACAAAGCGAAAGTGACTACAGCTAACCCTAGCACATCTAGGCCTACATGATCCATAGTGATATGCCTGTCAGCAGTGATCGCTCTATGCAAACTGCATGAACAGCACAATGCCTAGAAGGCAGGGCTCATAACCTATTGCACAGAGGACAGGCTACTACGAAGAGCTAGACAAGAGCACTTGCCTTTATGAGTTAGTGAGTAGGTTTGAGATGATAAGCTTGTTGGGGCTCAAGTGTTCAAATGAACAGTAGATTGTCTGAGTAAGATGATGGGGACTCTAGGAGAGATACCCTGAGTTTATATACATGTAGCTGTATGCATGGACCAGTAACATAAAAGGAAGGAGCTACAGTATAGTTACTATGTATAGTAAAGAATAGCAGAGAATGCTATGGAATATGATGCAATAGATGATATCATAATGACATCATTGTGAAGCTGATAACCAAGCAAAGTCATGTGATAGACAACATGTTGATGCACATGTAAATCTAGAGTCAGAACTATTAAGATATTTCCAACAAGTGGAGTCATGGCACATGGTGGTGGATGCATGCTGACATATTCACTCCTACCCTGTTGGCCTGGGGGTTCATAGCTTGTGAGTGGAATCATGGCAGATGGTGGTGCATGCAACCTGATTATATTCACCACTGCTTTGCTTGACTTGCATGCATAGAATGTGAGTTGATGGATGAAAAATGGTGGCCATGGATGGTTGCTGAATGTGATTTTTTCTCCCACCCCATTGCATTTGCATTCATAGGATGTGTGTGATGTTGTGGCAGCATTTGGTGGAGGAAAATATATATACTCACAATCATCATCATTTCACTTTTGGCCTTTGGGTCTTAGAGAGTGAGTGTTGTGGACATTGCCCATTTAGCATTCTTTCACAAGCTCTTCTCATCCAATAGATGGTGAACTTGATCACTGCATATATCTCTAAAATATTGTTGAGACATTGTGTTAGGATGTAGGTGCAATCTTCCCATGGAGTATGCCTCTTTCTTATTTCTCCTCTTTCTTATTTCTCAGCATGTCAGTTCTCACAATTCCTCTAAAATCCTGATGAAGTTTAGCCTATTACCAGAATGTATGGTTTTGTTCCACATCCCACAATCCTTCATTACCCATGTGTTTTCAGTTGGTTTGTCATTCTTTTTCCTACTTTAACATTGGTTCCTGTTTTACCCCTGATATCTTGTCAGGTGGTATGTTTCAATTCCTTTTTCTTTTCCTAACAGTCTATGATGTGTTGAATTGGTTGGTTATAGCAACCCATCAAACATGGAAGCAGTTTCATTTCCATCCCTACATTGTCCATGTCAAGGCAGCCTTCCCTGATGGCACTTGCAGAACATGGCATTGGTAAATTATTGCTCTTGATCCTGCTTGATTCTGAAGCTCATGATTACAGGTTGTGTAATTGTTTTTGAATACTTATTTTTCCAGTTGCAGGTCAAGGATGGAGGTACTACAAGGCAGGATGTGCAGCAGGATCTGACAGTGATTGTCAGAAAATATCAAAAATCAGGTGTCCAAAATACTGTTATTGCATGCATTGCAGAAGCCTTCCAGCAGCATGGTGAAAGTGTGGATGATTTATGTGCCATGCTTGTGGGTATAGCACAGGCAAACCAGATGTGTAAGACATATTTTTACCCCAATGATGGAAATCCTATTTAAACTGTCCACAGCAAAGAAATTCCTGAAATGAAAAAAAAGATAATTTCAACTCTTATGCACTTCACTATTCTTGCTAAGTCCCTTGGTTCCCATCTGCCAACCAGTATGAAGATCAGATTTGCAGCATCTCAATTCCTACCAGAGTCTTTTTTTGAAATCTCAATCTCCTATTGCTTGGGAGAATCCTGTGAAATATGGAATCTGCTTGTTATTTGTATACATTCATGTCCTCTCATATAGTCCTGTGCAACCTTCAAATTTGAGACCTGATATCTTGCCATCAGAAGTTGGGAATTTGTACTGCCTTTATATAACCCCATGTAGATTGCTAGGATCTGGTAATTTATACAACAACCTCCAAAGTCCCATATACATCCAAACTGCCACCACAATCTTACATTTCTCACAAATGTGTCCAGTGGTATTAACCTTTGAATCCCAAAACATCTGTGTGAATAATGTTGTTAGTGGATATGCTCACCATTTATGGAGTGATTTTTTTTGAGATGTTCTCAGCAAACCAACTGTTGATAAAGCCAGAGGGCCAACAAAGTCTATGTATGGTTACAAAGAAGAGTAGCATGCTGGGGTATGGGATCATTGCTTATCATCAATTTGTATGGCATGTTCAGTATCCAATCTACACCACAACATGCCTAGTGTGAGGTTGTGGGGGTTTATCTCAAGCTTCCATGTGTGAAGATACTATATGGTATTCCCACTGTTGTAAGACACATGGATAAAACTTATTTACAATATTTTCCAAGCTTTGTATACATGAAACATTGTTTGTACTGAATGCTGCAACCCCAAGATGACTACTTGTTCAGGAGGAAATTATAGCAGGGACTACCACTCAATAATTATGAGTATCTTTCAAGCTTGCTGAATATCAGCTGAGCACTCAACAATCAAGGAAATCCTTGAAGAGGTATGCTGCATGAAAATGGTGCAGAAGGCCATAAGCATGCATATGAGAATGAGCCATGCTGACTTTGGAAGGAAACCTCCAAGGGATGAAGTGGTTCACACCCACACAGAAAGAGGAGTGATCAACACTCTTCATCTAATGAAAACTTCATATACATAAAGAAAGGGGATACAATTTATTGAAGAAAGATAGATCTTCCAATGAAGAGCAACAGATACCTGAGGAAGGATGGTGCAGACCATCAATCTTGTCAATGAGAACAGGATCACCTGTATGGTAAGGGGAAACAACCTCAGAAGTTCCTAGCAGGGATCACCTGCTTCAATTGCAAAAAGGAGGGTGTTTTGGCTCCTGATTGCCCCCTTCCTCAAAGGATAAAGGCAAAAGTGCAGCAAAGTTGTAACTGTTCACAGTCATTGTCCAAGAGGACACACAGTATGAGCATACTTGCAAGGAGGATAAGCTGGAAGAAGAAAAATTGGGTGAGCCTGACAAGGAAGAATTGGTACAAGTATATGAGGAAAATGTGGGTGTTAACCCCAAGGATATGGAGAAATCAGATATTGACAACACCCCAAACACCTTCAAAACATATTATAAGGTGAACAAGGATGACAAGCCTGTAGCTGACTTTGGCACAATGCACCACAAAGTATATAGTGTAGTCAAACTTAGTCACAACATATGGGTAGCCTGCACATCAAAACACCATTACTCATGTAGAGCCTGGTGCAGGCCCATCAAAATAATTTAGCCACAACACATAAATGGGCCTGTGGGCCCAGAGTGACAGTAACATACAAGCAGGCCTGTGAGTGGGTGATAACAACATATGGGTGGGGCTGTGTGGGTTAAGGATATCACAACACATGGACAGGCCTGTCCCACCTATCATGGATAATGATACAATGAATGGACTGGCCTGTCCATAGCATGATCTGCCCTGCCACAACATAAAGGTGGGCCTGTCCCTGGTATAATAGTGGTGCTCAAGGTGGCACTGGAAGCACTCTGGAAGCACTCTGTCTGTGTTCTGGCACTGGCTCTGGAAACATGTTCTGGCCACTACATTTTCAACTTCAACAAGCCAAATGGTGCAGCATCCCGTTGGACTCAAAATAAATTACAGTAGTTTTAGCAGTATATCAAATAATTAAATAGCTAAGTCTTGAAGAACAATGCCCTGCAAATCTCTCTGCAAAAATCTCCTCAGACAACTTGATGAAGCTAGCTTGCAGGTAGCAATGGCCAGGCTGGAAAATGTGCATCATGAAATTGATAGTAGTGATAATAGTGATTCAACCGCAACATATGGGGATTCTGATTCATCTCAGAGTGTCCTCTTCATTACTCCACTGTCTCTGATCTCTCTGATCTTGATGGATTCCAACTCCAGTGTTTCTGATGATACAGACTCAACAGTTGAGAGGGATAGGCAGTGTGGATGGCTCCTGAATGTGATTGAGGCTCTGAAGGATGAAGTAGAGCATGTGTGGGTTCTTGAAAAACCTGCTGTACCATTGATGTGGTCATCACAGCTTGGCCTGCTCAACCATTTTGCTGACCATCACCCTCATCTGTTCCTTAGATGCCTTCATGTATGGCCAGAAGTTTTCGATCACATCCTTGATCAAATAAGTAGCCACCCAATATTTCATAGTAGCTCTGAAAATTGTCAGTTGCCAGTCACCATTCAACTTGCAACTTTCCTTTTCTGTGTGGGGCATTATGGGAATGCAGCAACACCAGAGGATGTGGCCCAGTGGGCTGGGGTTAGTGTGGGATTGGTGATCAATTTCACCAATTGGGTCATGGTCACAATACTGGATGAGTACAATACATTTGTCAATATTCCCCCTCATGACTCAGAGGATATGGAAAGAGCATGTACCTTCACTGAAGTGCGGACATGTCTGGCATGGAGAAATGGAGTCTTCGCTGCAGATGGCTCATCGATTCTGCTCTTTGAAAAGCCCCAAATATTTGGGGAGAGCTTCTATGACAGAAAATCGAGGTATTCACTCAATTGTCAGGTGTGTATTCCAATGCATGCAAAATGGAATACTTACCACTCATAGCTTGTTATCATGCTGCACAACCTTCTTGTGGTTGACTATGAGCTTGGTCACCCTGGAAGCATCCATGATGCATGGGCTTTTCAAGGTACTCACATTGCATCATGACCAGAGACCTTATCCCTGAAGATCACTGGACCTGGGCAGATAGTGCATATCCCATGGAGGAATGGTGTGCTGTTCCTTTTAAAAAACCCAAGGGTGGGCAGCTATCTCACAATCAGAATTTATATAACAAATATCTTTCTAAGGTGATACTTACCTTGTACTGGTATGCATGCTGATTGTGTTGAAAGGTCTGCATCCATGTTGAGCATGCATTTGCTGCCTTGAAGGGTCAATTTCAGAGTCTCTGCGAGCTGCACTTGAAAATCCAGAACGAGAGGGATGTTAAGGTCACAGTTTACTGGGTAATGTGTTGCATCATCTTGCATAACATGGTGATCTGTTTTGGGGAGGAGATGATTGGCATCATCGAGCCCTTGAGTCAGTGGGCAATGGAGGAGGGGTTGGGCCAACAGGATGGTGACATGGTTGTGGTAGGAGAGGCTGTGGGAACACCAGGTCAGTGATTTTGAATGAGGCTGTTAGATGAGCTGTTCCAATATCTGGGGCATGAACGTACCTAGTATAAATGGACCAAAACAGTCACCATATAAAGTTGAAGGAGCATAGCTAGTGATGCTGTAGGAATCAGCTAAGTCCCACCCATTGATGACGAGGGTGTGTAAAGGGTCTTCACAGGATCCAGGCACTTTATGACTGACCTTGGAGAAGTCACTTATGATACCATACACATTCTGCAAATGAAATGTACCCTACATTGCATCTTGATACAGTGTTGGGGTGAGTATGGGGGAGATGGAGAAGTAATACAGTACAGGGCAAGCATGTACTTAACGATCATGTGATGCACTGGGACTGAGACACAAGCACAACAGAGAAGATGATGAGCTGAGCCAAGATGTGACAATGGATTAAAAAAAGAAATGGACATGATCATGAAGGGTGGCTGGCCTAAGCAGTGGGGTCAGAAGACATTGAGCCAGAGCTGCTGCCACTCTTCATGAGCTCTGCAAGTTGAATCTTGAGTCGAAGGGTTTTGGCCTCCCTCATGAAGGTGTTTTCTTTGGCATTCTTCAGCTTGATATCAAGCTTCCAGAGCTCCTGCTCCCTTTGATGCTTATCCTCCACATCTTTCCACTGCATCCTGAGCTGCTCCTTCCTCAACTCAAGCTCCCGATCCTTCAGCATATACTGCATTTTTGCCAGGTACTGCACAGTCTTACCAGAAGATGAGGATGCTAGTATCAACTCAGCCTCTTGACTCAAGTCAATGACCTGGCTTTGAAGTTGAGACTTGTTGCAAGTGACTGGGAGAGAACTTGCCTCCATTGATGTTGTCTTGGATGATGAGGACCATGGGGTCCTTGCAACAGCCTTCCCCTTGCAGGAAGAGCTAGATGATGATAACACAGAGGAAATGACACTTCTGGTGGAAGTGGGGGGACAAAGGTATGGTGATTGGCAGAATGCAGAGTGATTATCTGAGAAAGGTGTGCGAGACTTGTGAGGGAGGGAAAATTGAGACCACACTTCAGGAGTCAACAGCTGAGGATATGACTGCTGATTCATTAACAATGATCCATTAGTGATGTCCCAATAGAAATGTACCTGATCACCATGAACTGACACTGAGTCCATGTTAACATCCTCTCCATCTCCAAAGCCAGGGTCTGTGCCTTCCAGATCAAAGATACTATTGGCAAATTCATCCCCCTCATTCATGACTAGATCACCAACATGAGACATCCTCTCATCAACTTCACCATCCTCCAGATCTTGATTGCCACACATTTCCTTGGTCCCAGTACTCAAAGGGGTACCTTCATCTGCTGGAGTGGCAGGTGACCCCACTCCCAAGTCTGAAGTCTTCTGCATACCAGATGATTTATTTTGGACAATGGCTAAAAAATCTTCAGCATGATTTTTGTCTGGCTCAGAATTAATTGGGTCAGAGTCAAAGGAGGGGTTGCCCTGCCAGATGGAATGCAGATCATCGTACCAGGGTAAAGTGTTGAGAACAGCTTCTGTAATCATACACATCAGTGACTGTAATCCCACTAGATTGATTGATAACTTATGATGGAGATTTGTGTAGCTTGCATGACCAGGCATAATGCCTTCCCCTGATTGTTTAAAGTGTGCATGGCACTTGTGATACAATCCCTTCAGCCTAAATGATCATTAAAAAATCACAGATAAAATATGAAGAGGAGGCTGATGTAGTGATGTGGTTGCCTGTGCTAACTTGGAACTTAGCAGTGCCTGCCATGTACATGTCCTTGTAGTAGGGATCATTCTTGAATATGACTTCAGCAATAATTGCTTGAACTTCTTTCTTGTTATGGCCCACTGGCCCCTCCTCAGGTGAAGGTGGTGAGATGGTTGTGATCTTATCACTAAAAAGGATTCTCTGGTTTGCAGGATGGGTGAGCAACCAGTTGATGAGTATATCAGTATGAGGAACATCCCAGTTGATGTTCTTCAGCTGAAGACCTTCTGTAGTAGATGTGTCACCAGTAGTGGTGACAGCCCACTGGCTGGATGAAGCTGGGTTCTTGCCCTTGGTTCTGCCATGAGTAGATCTACTGCTCGATCCACAACCAGAGCCTGAATTCCTGGTGGGTCTGTCAGATCCTCCTTGATGGGCTTGTTCACTTGAAGATGCCATGGGCTGACCTGAGATTGCTTGCAGGTGAGCAGAATGCTGAATGTGTGGTTGCAGAGGAGACATAACTTTTCAAACTCTGCAAGGCCAATGCCAGTTGCAGATGCCATTCCAGAACAATTCCAGAGTGCTTCCAGCACCACCTTGAGCACCACTAATCTACCCTGCCATGACATAAAAACAGGCCCATCCCTCCTATCCTGGATGATGAAACAACATATGGACAGGCCTGTCCATGGCATGATTCACCCTGCCACAACATGAAGGCAGGCTTTAGACTGTCAGCTCAAGTCTTAGAACCCCACACTTGAGCTGCTCAATCATATGCAGCATTCCTCAGAACTTCACCCTCAGTGTCCCTTGCAAGGACCACTCTTACTAGCATTGAAAAATCCTCTATTGTTTACAGGGGTTACTGATGCCATTTGCTCAGTAGAAACCTTAGTCTGTGACTGAGGTCAACCTATGCTTCAACTTCAGTCTTAGTGTAACAAAAGCTCAAGTCTCCACAGCCTTTGGGCAAAGGTCACTGTTTAGTGAACCACCACAAACCCCCAAAATAACTGTCATTGGGTGCTGACATGACCCACATGAAAAGAAACCTGTTCTGAGGACAAACAAGAGAGCACTGTCACTGACACCTCCTTGAATGAACCTGAATATCTGGATAGAGGCTTTACCTCTGGTATCCTCTTGAACCTCTTTTCCCAATCTCTTGCTTCACTCAGTACTCCCATCCCACCAGTACCTGCCCCTACTCCTGTACCTCTGCTCTCACCCCAGAATATGATGTCCAGATCACTGTCAAAGGCCTTGGCCAACATTGCCACTAAGGCAGCTGAATTGAAGATCAGTGCTCCACCTGATTTTGATGGAGATCAGAAGACCATGATGAGCTGGCTGTTTGCAGTCCAGACTTAATGGTCAACAATGAAATCTACAACACAGACACCAAGCAGGTTGTCTATGCCCTGTCATATATGAAGATGGGAGTTGCCCACTTCTGGGCAGCTACCTTCCAGAAGACATTCCTTGAGAAAAACCTGCCTAGCTTTGGGTCATTTGTGGACATCACAACTGCATTCAAAGCCTCATTCACCCCTGCTGACTCTGCTGGAGCAGCTATCTCCAGGCTCTGGACCTTGAAACAAAAAGACTCTGTTGAGCAATACATCACTGAGTTCCACACTGCCACTGCTGACTTGACCATCACAGAAAATATTACCCTGATTGAGTTCTTCTCTCAGGGCCTCAAACCATTTATTATAATCCACATCTACATGATGAATACCACTCCTGCTAAGATTGATGAGTGGTACAAACATG